CCCCCATAACAGTCAAAACTTTCGGGTTCTAGACCGTTGGCGTACAGGGTTCGGTCTCAACTTTCGACCTCACCCAGTTTCGGCCTTTGGGCCGAAACTTTCGGCCTGTTCAGGACATTTCAGCCACAAGGCCGAAAGTACTAGACATGTTTCGGCCATATATAGCCGAAACGAACTTAATTGCTGCTGCTGTTCAGTTTCGGCTCCTCTTTCGGGTTCCAGACCGTTGGCGTACAGGGTTCGGTCTCAACTTTCGACCTCACCCAGTTTCGGCCCAAAGGCCGAAACTTTCGACCTGTTCAGGACATTTTGGCCACAAGGCCGAAAGTACTGGACATGTTTCAGCCATATATATATAGCTGAAACGAACTTGCTGCTGCTGTTCAGTTTCGGCTCAGGAGCCGAAACTACAACTGGCATGTTGGAAAAAGATACCGAAGGCCAGCCAATTTCCGGACGACATTCGTGCCCGCAGGTGCCGGCGCACACGAGCCCGGGCTTGAATCAAGCCTTTTTTCTATCTCTTGTATATAAGGGGGGAAAATCTTCATTCCAAAGCAATGTGGGACAAAAGCCACTTTTTCCCTTCATTTTCCAACTCAAATGGGTCTACTTTGAGAATCAATATCTCATTCACCCATTATCCGTTTTGAGCGTACAATATATCAATCTCATCGTCTCACTACGAAGTATCCGAATCCACTTTGACCCGACCCAAATAGGAAGTGGACCCCACTGATAATTGTGCCACAAAATAGCCACTTAATATGCCATTTTATGTCATTTTAAGCTATTTTTTTCAACAATAAGTTCACGTCCTTCTTTATCTCTAAAGATAGAGTGTCCTAACCATCCAACTGCTATTCCATCCCCTTTATCCATCGAGCCCGCCCTGAATAATCCTCCTTTTGCTCCATTATTGCCAATGTAATCATAAAAAGTTGAATTTTCAGGAATTTTAGACCAAGCTTCTGATAAACTTTAAAAAGAAAAAGGTGATTACAGTTTCACCAGACTAATCCTAAACTCACAAAACTCCACCCCTAAAGCGACTATGGGGGTAAACCGTGAGTCGCGCAATCAACCAACCAGTAAAATCCTAATCTCATGTGCTCACAAAGGGTCCAATCTTGATCTTCCAGTTTAACTAGATGCATGTATTGTAGCTGCTTTAAAACTCATGAGGGAGTGTTGGGTCATAGTATACCTTCGACGACTCGACAAGAAAAGGAAACATGTCGTGAGACAAGAAAAAAAAAAAACTTGCAAAAGATACGAAATCGGACAATCCACGTCGAAGGACCACAAAACGTTATAGTCTTCTAGAGATGGGTATTTACTATTTAGCTGTGGTGTTGGTGATTTTTTGTTTCTTCATTAGATCGAGAATGTGGTCACCATAATTAGATATGGATGAAAAAAAAAAAAAAAGAATCTTGTAAAATAGTCCATCTTGGATTGGATACAACCCCCATCCCATTCGGTGTATCTTTTTGGCGTGAGACCACATTGACGCAACACAAATCTTAAACCAAGCACTGCAAATTAAAGCCTTTGATGGGAGGGAAACATCAACAAAGATTTGCTGTCCTTCATTCTAAGATTATGTGTAGGTACTCCAGGCAACACACTAAACCCTAAAGTCAATTTCTATCCATAATTACTTGGCCATTTATTGTCTTGTCTCGATCAATTCTTCATTCTCAACCGTTAAATTTTTCCCCTTAATTAGCTTGCATTTTGTAATTACCATATTATATTTTTGTTCCTACTCGAGTAGAAGTACATTCATTCATTTCTAGTATTATTAATCAAGTGTTTTACCAGGACTATGTGGTCTAATGGTACCCTGGTTGGACTTCCATTTGGAAGGTTGTGAGTTTGAGCTTTAGTGGAGGCGTTGTTGGCTCTTTGTGTTTCAGTAGGTTGAGAAAGTATATGAACAGATACTACAATGTAATGGGGCCAGTAGCATTCAAAAAAAATCAAGTGTTTATTGTTACACCACCAATTATAGATGGAGTTAATACTCAATATAGTCCTCAATTATAGTGATTTTACTTAATTTAGTCCTAAATGATTTTTTATGCTCAATTTAGTCATCGACTTTGATGGTTTACACAATTTAGTCATTTGTTAAAAATTATGTTAGTTAACTGTTAGAAATAGAATTCTAATGGTAATTTCTCATCATTCATCCCGTTTGGAATGATTCATTCTTCCTCCCCTTATTAAGATCCACACAGAAATGTAAATTTTCGTGCTCAAATCAACTTCAATCCCTTAAGGAAGGTTAGGCAAATATTTATTTTTGCGTGGGTTGAAGTTGATTTGGGTACGAAGATTTACATTTCTGCGTGGATGTTAATAAGGGGAAAAAGAATGAATCATCCCAAATGGGACGAAGGATGAGAAATTACTATTATGACCATATTTCTAGCAGTCAACTAACAGTTTTTAACAAAGGACTAAATTGTGTAAAACCATCAAATTGAGGACTAAATTGAGTACAAAAAGTCATTTAGGACTAAATTGAGTAAAATCACTATAGTCGAGAACTATATTGAGTATTAACTCGATCATTACAGCTAGTAGCGAATACATAATTTTATTTTGTTATACTTGTGTAATAGTTAGCGTCATGTTTGGATGACATGATATTGGACTCGACCTTATAAGTCCCTTACAACATCATTGCTAATTGACACCATAGAAAAACCATTCATTGCCTCCATCCCATTTTATGTGTCTAGTTCGGTTAGGGTCCACACACTCAGACTAATCCCCATTCGCACTAGGCCGACCCAATTAAGGGGCCAGGCAAAGTGATGGCCAGATTGGTTTTCCATACAAGAGGGCGTTCGAACTCCCGACCTCTCTTAAGGGATGAGAGTGCACGGCTACTCACGCCAACCAAGCTGGCTAGAAGTTATTTTTAATTCAATTTTTCATAATGTTAAGTTTATTATTAGCATATAAAATTTATATACTTGGAAACTACATTAAAAATACTATTAAACACAAAAAAAAAAAAAAATTGAAAAATAATTACAAAATACTAAAAAAATGAGCAAAGAAGAAATAGTTTGTTTGGCCAATGAACACTGTTGCACAAATCGCGCCTAGGTGTCGGCCGACCGATTAGCTATTGTTTCCTTTTTAAAATGTGTTATTTCGCTCAAAATGATGTCGTTCAAATCGGTCGCAAACCCTAAAATGTAAAAAAAAAAAAAAAAAAAAAATATTTGGAAGTTTGGAACTAAGTTGATACTTTGTGAATTGTGACTTTGTGGAATTGGCAACTTTAAATCTTTATCAAATTTACAATTTTTAGTTATTTTTTAGGTTAATATTTAATATTTTAGTATTAACTATTAATGTATTAAATAGTTTATAATTATCATGTCTTAAAAAATTTTAAAAATAAATATAAATAAAAAGGGTGCCCGGAGAGCATCTAGTGACTTTTTCAACAATGTCAATGAAAAATAAATATGACATATAAAATAGGACAGATGGAATATTATTGTACAAAGATTAAATTTTATTACTTCATACAATAAATTCAATATTTAATATGTGATAGTGTATGGGAATACATTATTCATTTAAAAATGTCCGCTAATTTTAAGTTTTAAGCGTCATTTTTATACATTTACAAATTATCTAACTTAGCTTGTGTACATACTCACAAACCAATCAAAGAGGTACAACAAAAGTTCTCACACTCAATCACCCCCATGTGATTCAACTTTTGAGTATTCCACGTACAACACATGTACATTGCCTATAATGTTCACACAAAAAAATTAAGTTTGAATTGTTAGCATTTACAGTTGTTATGAATAATGTTTATCAAGAAAATTTTAAAAAGCTAATTAATGTTTATCATACCAAAAAAAAAAAAAAAATTAAAAAGCTAATTAATGTTTATCATACCAAAAAAAAAATGTTTAAAAAGTTTAGAGACCTAATTGACTTTTAAGCTAAAGTTCAAGAGTTTATTTGACCATTTTTCCTATATACTATAGTACTCAATACAATTCATAGAATTAATTTAAAACTAAAATTTATTAATTTATCAATATCAAAAGTCGATTTTTTTTTCAACAACGTAAGATCTGGATCAACCTCCATTTCACATTGACATGTTGGAAATTACAAACAGCTGGGGGCGTTTATGCTCATTTTTTTTTTTTCTCCTCTTCTTTTTCTCTATCTTAATTGGAGAAAAACTTTGACAAAAATTACAATCAGTTGATGATGCACTTACTGGAATTTAGTACGGAGTAAAATATATAATGAAAATCTTTAATAATATATATTTTTAATTAAATAGTGTTGGATTAGCATGCACGGGCAATTCTAGTCTAATTTATAGGACTTATAGGCAAGATGTATGTTGCACGGATTTTGACTGTTGTTCGTACAAACAGACATCATGCTACGCATATTCCCAGCACAATCATTACCATGTTTTTCACACTTAATTATTCCTTTTGCCCTTATTAATCCAAAAAATGTGTTTATTATGCTTAATCGACTATTTATGTATCTATTTTATTTTTTCTTTTTCCTTATCAAAGCCCCAAACAAATGTAAAATGAAAAATATATATATTATCAAACTCTATATAAAAGGTATTTATAGATATTATTTTTAGTACAAAAAGTTACTAAAACTTTGAGTTTATTAAAGTTAACAAAAATGTATGTGACAAATGTCTGAAACTGCCTCAGTTCCGATAAAAAATAAACAAATATTTTAGTTTTAGAAATAACTCGAATTAAAAGTAAGAGTAAAATTAGATCCGATAAAGATTATAACAAAATTAGTTTGACGAAGAAGGGGCAGCCGGGGGTGGGGGGAGGGGATTTATTATTGAGTCAAGATAGAATAGATTAAAAACTAGAAATAGCTGATTGTTATAATCTGGATCCACTATAATACAAAACATGTGCATCCTAGTTGAGTTGATGAGATATTTGATAATCATAAGATTCTAAATTCAACTCTTTTTCCGCCACATGCTATTAACTTTTTTGGTTTTAACTAGACCGTATACGATGCCTATGCGCTTTGAAAGGAGAAAGTGTACTTTTTGCCATGCATGAACCTGCCTGCAGTCCATGATCACCAAAATGAACTACTTATTAATTAAAGATTGTTTGTCCGGGAGATAATATCATCTTGGGATCAAATTTGGCCTTATTTTCTTGAAAAGTGTTCCACTTTTTGCCGAAATGCTTCATCCAATCCTCCCTGCTTCTGTAATGGGGAAGATACTGCTTTATCTTGCTGCCTTCTTCATCATCTTTATTGCAAAAGCTCAAGATTTCTTGGTTCAGTTCATCCAAAACCTTCCACCCATTCATCCCTCCACTATACAACAGCCCCACGCAGTAAAACGTATCCTCTTCTGGTATCACCGCCGACATCCTCTCATCCCACCTGTTCATTCATTCATATATAATCACTTGTTAAGAATTCATAATTTTCCTTAATGTTAAGTGAAAAAATTGCATTTTTTGTCATCCAGTTATATCCGTGCAGGTACAAGACTTAACCCTTGAGTTATATATATGCATGACCATCTTTAACCATACCTTTTAGAGGTTTAACATAGCCGCGCATATAACTCAAGAATTAAACCTGTACCACGTATTGGTGTAATGGGAGGATTTTCCCTAATTTTAATGAACACTAATGAAGGTTGGAAGGGTACATTTTTGTGGTTGTCGGATAGACGAGCATGGGGCCTGAGGTTTTGTGTTTTAAAAGGATGTTTTGGAACACAGCGGAATTGAAATCCAAGATTCTTGACTTTGGTACAAAGAGGTTTAGCCATGGATGAGTAGCTTCCCAGAGCCCATTTTCTTGTGGTTCCAGCTCTTCACCTCTTACTCTATTCAGAAATTCAAAATATGAAGCATCTTTCTTGAATGTCATCCCAGGAACAAAGCTCAAATCTTTGAGCAAATCCTTCAATTCCTGCATATATATACAAATCAAATCATACCCATCCATTTTCGATATGTACATATATACTTTCTCAATGTATCTGTACTATTTTATGTGTCTAGTAAGAATGAAAAGTACTTGGTCGACCGTGCTGCCAGTTTGATCATCGTAATGCTTGACGACTTCCAAGCAGTAGAGAAGCCCCTGTTGGGTAAGCAAAGAAGCAATTTTGGATTGATCGGAGAGGGAAAAGAAGGAAGATCTCCAGTTATTTGGAGAGGTATGGTTCATCATAAGAGAACCTTCCAAATAGTTTAACCCATTAATTGAGATGAGATGTTCTTGGTCTCTTGTGAATTTTGAGAAATCATCATATAACATTCTCACCCATTTCACCTACATATAATGCACATCAAAATTAACAATAATAAAAAAAAAAGGTTTAATCTAACCAATCAAGAATTGAAACTCATAATACAATTATGTAATTAGTAGACCGATCAATTAAGAATCCAGATTTGTGATACAATTCGAAACGTGATTAATAGAGCATTTAACCATATCCTTACTCTTGTTGGAGCTTTCTCTAACACAATTCTTGCCCTTGTGATGATCCCAAACTGCCCTAATCCCCCCAAAACTGCAAAAAATAGCTCCGAGTTCATGTCTTTGGAGCAAGTGATAAACTCTCCCTTTCCTGAACCCAAAGTGCACCAAAACAAAAGTTAGTGTAATTATAATAACTATATACAATTCATCCCTAACTAACAATTTTCTTATAATATATTAGGCAGTATCAATTCACGACATACAAAATTGTCAATTTACACCACGACAATATGTTATACTCGATATAAATTAACACTTTAAAACTTGTTATAATATATTATCAATATATATATATATATATATATATATATATATATATATAAAATATGTTGTAAACCTTTTAAATGGTGGCCCAACCAACAACCACCCAAGCATCCCACGCCCATCCAAAAATGAAAAGAGCTAGCTTCCAATTAAGCCAAATTAAAGTGAAGATTGAAAGTGACGATCTGCCCAGTTTATGTGCACTTCACATATCTTTTTTGGAAAATCGTCATCACGAACAGAACGAAAGAAAATGAAAAGATGAGGTAGCAATTAAGGTCCATTTTTGTCGCCTGTGAATATTTCAATTCGTTTCACAACAATGTGACGTACAGGCCATACTTAGTGTGTGAACGCAAGAAAGCAAACTGCTATATAAAGTAAACTTCCATTTTTTATTGCATAATTACTATAACGATTCTCGAATTTTTCAAGATAGGATAATAACGTAACGGCCCTGAATATTGTAATACTATAATTTACTTTCAGACAAAAAGAATTAGTGTACGTGGCACATAATAGCTGCTTGGACCCGTGACATGGTTTTATATATCCTATAACGACAACTTTATCTAAATTGATCAGATTATTGATTTAATAACTATATATACACACTCTTTGGCAAAATAGTCAACTTTCAATTTTGACTTATTTAATCACTGTTAATTGTTTGACTCAATTTAAAAATCAATATAAGTATTTGATTAATTAGCTTTTTGTATTCCAAAATACTAAAACTCAAAAAGCTACTCAAATTAAAGCAACTTTTTCAAATAACTTTTTGAGAATAAAATTATACCAAACAACTATCAGCTAACAGCTAATTTACCAAACACTTTTCTACAATCAGCTAATGTTATCAACTAATTATACTCTCTAATTAACTCAATCAGCTAACAACCATTTAGCTAACAGGGCCATAATGTTACAAGTGCAAAAGTGGTCTATTAGTCGGATTGGGGCAAATTGTTGTGTGGACCATAATAAAAAGTACATTTTTAATATACTAAATGTACATTATACAAAATAATGTACTTTCAGTACTCAAATAATGTACTTTTCCTGAATACAATGTAAATTTTTAATATATTAAAAGTACATTATTTTTGTACTGAATGTACATTATTTGATAGTATATATGGTCCAATAATGATTGTCATATATATTAGTCTGAGCCAATCAGCTATAGACAACCTAGCTAACTAGGCTAGTTTATCTCATTGTGATCTTACAATTTGGAATTTACCCGCACACTCCCGATTAGTGACTGTGAATTTTTCTCATCGCCTATAAAATAAAACATATATAATTAAGTGAGAACCTGTAGGTGGACACATTCAAACCATTAGTCTAGTATATCTAATGATTGAAAAAAAATAAAAAATTATAATATTTATAAAAATGACCCACTTATTTTAAAAATTTATAATATTTATGAAAATGACACGACTCATTATATATATATATATATATATATATATATATATATGGAATAATACACGTATGTATACATACACTTCATAGTGTATGTACGTACCTGTGATGACATCCAGTTCAAGAACATTGCTGATCTGTGGCCCACAGCGAAACATCTGACCGCTAATTCCGGCGTTGGATAGGGTTCCACCGACCGTCAAGTGGAGATAGTCGGTCCACGACGCCGGCGAGACGCCGTGGGCGAGGCATGCATGTAAGACATCAACCCAGAGCTCGTGGCCGCCGACGTCAGCGAAATACCCTAAAGATTCACTCCAAGAAACCCTAATCTTCCCCCCACCCCTCAAAGCGCCCATTTCCACCACCACCCCGTCTTTGGCGGTGGCCTGCCCCCTCACGGAGTGGCCGTGGCCCCTGGCGGCGACGGAAAAAGGGGACGGGGAATTGTAGGAGAAGCGAACAAGGTTGATGATGTCATCAACGGAGGAAGGGTAGAGAACCCCCGCCGGAGTTTCTTGAACTATCCCGCCGAAGTCGGTGGAGGCGGCAGTTGTAGCCCGAGAATCGACGCGAAACCGGCCGGCGATGTCAACGGAGAGGATTTCGTAAGGGAGGGAGGAATTCCATGGCTTTAACTTTCCTAAAATTGACATGAAACGACTTATAATGTAAAGAAAAATGAAAAGACTTGAAGAAATAAGTTTCGCCATTGGTCTTTCTTTTGTAGCTAGGAAAGGAACCAAAAGATATGAAAGATACAAGAAAAGATGAGTGGAGAGCTTGGGAGAAAATTGTATCTATTTATAGGAACAGAGGGGAGGAGAGAGAGATTTAAAAAAATATATTGAACATTATTGTAAATTTGTAATGATAAAATATAATACGACATTTCTAGGAAAATTCATAATTAGACTAACTTTTAAAGGGAGATGGGATAATTTCTCAAAAGCAAAATGCCATTTCTATCCATTTTAAATTTTACATTGAATATTATAATATCTTAAATACTAAACATTGTGATGAAGTAGTCTAGATATTAATTATTATTATTATTATAATGTATAAAAGTTATATAGTACTAAACTTTTAACAGAATAATTTATATTAGTTCACCGACCTAATAATGAGTCTCCCAACAACGTAACGTCCGGGAGGAAATTTACCTGTGACGATGTGAGATTAAATTCCTCTTACAAAGATGCAAAAGGCCGGACAGATTTTTCCGATGAGTTTTTATGTTGTCATGTTTACAATAGTCGTCGGACAGTTCAAATAGTATCATAATAAGGGTTTGATCGTGAAAGTTTTCTAATGATTTTCTTGAATTAAGTTAGCTAGTTATAAGTAACTTATATTGGTCTATCTACTTGTGATCTATTTGCCGGCTAAATTTAAAATGCAGGTTTCACCAAAAGCACACATTTGGATAATGACCATAAGTTTTTCGTAAATCAAAAATTGTCCGATGAGTTTCCATGTTGTCTTGTTTACAAACGTACTTAATGACTTTCTCATGGCCAGAGAGATCAAAGATTAAAGAAAAATAAAACATGAAAAAATCAATGTTTTCTCTTGTGGTTTTTTTATGGTATAATTATTTAAACATTATTATGGGTCGACCCAAATGATTCCCAAAGCCACCCACCCACAAGTTTACTTTCTCGTTTTTGTGGGGATTGTACGTGTTAATAAGACAAAACTAATTAAGAATGTCACCCATGGAAACCCTTCTTTTCTTGGAAAATTTCTTGTGTGAAAGTAAGATAACTAATCATTTTATAAATGTCTTGACAATCTATGGTAAGAAGACAAGAGAGTTGGACCGTCCAAATTTAATTTGTTAAACATGGATATTAATGTATGTATGTATTGAAAAATTCGGGATATTGGGATAAAGATATAATGATGTAACATATGCACCATTAACTAAGTAGCTCATCAACTTTTTTTTTTTTCCTTCTTTTTGAGTATTAGTAACTCTGTTATAATGTAGTGTTGTGAAACACAAAGGGTTAATATCGCCTCCACTGAGACTCAAATTAAACCCACAACCTGTGAGAGCAACTTGATATCACTAGACCACAAAGTCCTTGGCAGAAGCTCATCAACTTAATTAGCTATATTTTGCTTTTTCTTGATTGTGTACATATGGACCATTATTTAGTTTTATAAGATGTTTTTTTTTATCATTTTAAATTTTTTTAACATACAGCAATATATTTAATATTTTACAAATTAATATTCATAACGTATATTTAAGAAATGGCTTAAAATACTAAGAGTGAAAATATCATTATAATTGTTTACTTGACCTTAGAGGCAAAGTGGTGAAACATATTGGTCATAAGTATATCGTGCACTTAGGAAAAATATATGGAGCATCAATATCATAGGCAAACATGCATGCAAAATATTCACTTTGAATTATATGATAGTTGTTACTTTTTTCTTCTAGATTATATTCAATGAATACGTAATATATTACAATCAATTCACATACCTTTTATTTTCATGGTTTATATTGCATTTGTAGGCTTGGATGTTGCTGCTGGTGGTATAAGTGCAAATGCTTAGATATGGTACTTATTAGGATTCTTTTTTTTTTTTTTTTTTTTTTTTTTTTAATTTATGTGATTCCAGTTTCACTAAACTAATCCTAAACTCACAGGATCCCGTCCCTAGAGTCACTGTGGAGGTAAACTGCGAGTTGCATAATCAGTCCACCTATAAAATCATCGTTTATATGTACACACAAAGAATCTAATTCAGACCTTTCAGTTTAACTAAATGTCTCATAGTTGCCTTAAAACTCATGAGAGAATGTTGAATCATAGTGTACCTTCGACGAGAAAAGGAAACATGTCGTGAGACAAGAAAATAAAATACTTGCAAAAGATACGAAATCGGACAACCCACGTCGAAGGAACACAAAACATTATAGTCTTCTAGAGGGGGTATTTACTATATATAGTTGTGGTGTTAGCAATTGTTCGTTTCTTCTTTCCAAAAGGTTGAACCCCAATCCTAAGGGCCCCTCACACCTTGACCCGACACAACATCTGGGAGGATGATTTTCATAGTAGCTCAACTGAACATGAACCATAGAGGTTAATTAAAGGCCCCCTCACTTTGAGAGGTTGCTCTCATACTGCCGTTGGTGAGACTCGATCCTTGATCATTCTTTTCAAACTTCACTTCTATGACCAGTTGAGATGCTCATACGGGCATTGTTCGTTTCTTCATTAGATCGAGAATGGTGGTCACCATAATTAAATATGGATGAAATAATAATAATAAAAAGAATCTTGTAAAATAGTCCATCTTGGATTCGATACAACCCCCATCCCATTCGGTGTATCTTTTTGGCGTGAGACAACATTGACACAACACAAATCTTAAACCAAGCACTGCAAATTAAGCCTTTGATGGGAAACATCAACAAAGATTTGCTGTCCTTCATTCTAAGATTATGTGTAGGTACTCCAGGCAACACACTAAACCCTAAAGTCAAATTTCTATCCATAATTACTTGGCCATTGTCTTGTCTGATCTCGATCAATTCTTCATTCTCAACCGTTAAATTTTCCCCCTTAGTTAGCTTGCATTATGTAATTACCATATTATATTTTTGTTCCTACTCGAGTAGACGCACATTCATTCATTTATAGTATTATCAGTCAAGTGTTTATTCCTACACTAACAATTACAACCAGTAGTGAATACATAATTTTATTTTGTTATACTTGTGTAATAGTTAGCGTCATGTTTGGATGACATAATATTGGACTCGACCCTATAAGCTGCTTATAACATCATTGCTAATTGACACCATAGAAAAATCATATTCACTCTATCCCATTTTATTTGTCTAGTTCAGTGAATAAGACTTGGCATAAATTATTTTTAATTCAAATTTTCATAATGTTAAGTTTATTATTAGCATATAAAATTTATATATTTGGAAACTACATTAAAAATACTATTAGATACAAAAAAAAAAATTAAAAATAATTACAAAATACTAAAGAAAATAAGCAAAGAAGAAAGAGTTTGTTTGACCAATGAACAATGTTGTAAAAATCGAGCCTAGGCGTCAACCAACCACCTAGATTATCACGTAATCAGTGTTCTAGGCTCCGACAGCTTTGTCGGCCAATTAACCATTGTTCCTCTTTTTTTTTTTCTTTTTTTATTTAAAGGGGTTATTTTGCTCAAAACGACGTTGTTGTTCAAATCGGTCGCAAACCTAAAAATGTTTTTTTTTAAAATCAAAATCAGCTATTCTTTAAAAATAAAATTAATTTAGAAGTTTGGAACTAAGTTGATACATTGTGAGTTGTGACTTTGGGTAATTGTTTTTTGATACTTTAAATCTTTATAAAATTTACAATTCTAGATATTTTTAGGTTAATATATAATATTTTAATAATAACTATTAAAGTATTAAAAAATAAAAATAAAAATAAAAAGGGGGCCAGGGAGCATCTAATGATTTTTTTAACATTGTCAATGAATAGTAAACTTGTCATGTAAAATAGAATTGAGGGAATATTATTGTACAAAGATTCAAATTTTGCTTCATACAATAAATTCAATATTTCATATGTGATAGTGTACAGAAGTAAAATAAATTCAATATTTAATATGTGATAGTGTATGTGAATACATTAGTCATTTAAAAATATCCGCTAATTTTAAGTTTTAAGGGTCTTTTTTATACATTTACAAATTATCTAACATCGCTTGTGTACATACTCACAAACCAAAGAGTTAAAACAAAAGTTATCACACTCAATCACCCCCATGTGATTCAACTTTTGAGTACTCCACGTACAACACATGTACATTGCCTATAATGTTCATAAAAAAATTAAGTTTGAATTGTTTGCATTTACAGTTGTACGTTATGAATAATGTTTATCAAGAAAATTTTAAAAAGCTAATTAATGTTTATCATACTTCTTCTATATATATATTTCTCGTGTGGGTGTGTGTATATATATATATATATATATATATATATATATATATTATTTCTCATCCATTTTTTAATTTTTTTTGTTTGACTATAAATTTTTTTATTAGTCAATTAAGATCACACAACAAAACTAATCTTATTTGTACTAAGTAATGCCTTCGATCCATTAACACCTTTAACTTTTCGAATGCTACTGACTCTATTACAATGTAGTATCTGTTCATATACTTTCTCAACCTACTGAAACACAAAGAGCCAATAACGCCTCCACTGAAGCTCAAACTCACAACCTCCAACTCGGGTACCATTAGACCATATAATCCTGGTATAACACCTTTAATTAAGTTGAAACATATGTGCATCATTTCATTTACACTCTCTTGAGTACGGCACGTTCACTTCTTAGGCTATGATATATGTGCGTGTGTATATGTTTTATGCATTGTAATGTATTAAAATATATATAATTTAAAAAAAATACTTTTTCATCCATTATAATGTATTAAAATATAATTTTGAAAATACTTTTTCACTTTAACAACTAGTGATCCAACTTCCAAGTAGAAGGAATTTAATTCTTGTAAATTATAAATTTAAGAAATTAAATCGGAAAGAAATTATGTATATAAAAAGATAATAAAAATACTTTGACGTAACACAACATAAATAACTTAAGGTGCCAAAGTCGTTTGATATCATTTTCGTGGATCCGACAATCTGGCCTGCCATTTTAAATAGGATATTATTGCATAGAGTTTATTAAGAACGTACT